CACCGTCAAATTTGGAAATAAATACTGAAAACTATATATCATTTTAAAGCACAAAAAATTGCCGTTTTTTTGAGGCCATGGCCAACTATAGTTTCCATATAAAAAAACAGAACTTCATTTTTTTTCTCTAAAATGATGACTCATAGAAAAAAACTGAGTACGCCACTGGATTGTGCTCAAAAAAGTCTCCTGAGAATGTTTTTACAGAAATGAAAAAAAAAAAAAAAATGATAAATAAAAAACTTATAGCTATTTTTCAGAATAGGAACAAATCAAAAATCACCCTGTATCAATGGTACCATTGAAGATATCGCGATACGGTTTTTGACAATCGACGTTTCTCGGAAATCGATCCCATGACATTTTAGTCAATTTTTCTCTATCTGGGCTGGAAGTATGTTTTTCTTGTTAAAACAGTCCAAATTGCAGCACCCTGTACATGTCCGAACCAAATCAGCTGTTTGTCCTTTATATCATCTACTATTGAGTGATTTACGTCCATAATCTTCCTAATTTTCAGATTTGTTATCCTTTCCATTTTTCACCTGCCTGCCGCTCTCCTCTAAAACTCCATTTCAGTTGCTTCCAGCATTTTTGCGGTTCTGTTCTTTAGTGGCCAGACTCCTGACTGAGCATGTAACTATGCTTTTGACTATGGTGTTGTATATTCTAGTTTTGTTGACATTTTGGTCCCACAGTATACCATTTAGTAGAGATATTGCCTTGCGTCCTTGTATATTCCGATCTCTAATTGCTTCGTCTAGGGTTCCCTCATGTGAGATTTTCATGCCCAAATATTTGTATTCAGTACATTTTTTTAATTTCTTTTCCGTCATTCAATTTCAGAGTTCGTTGTTCACCTGCTATAGTCATATACATATACTGTTTTAGTTAGATTTACTAACTAACTGTATCTACCTATCGAAATATAAGAAGTAAGACGGTCGAAATTTGATGAGACCTGATATAGGTCGAAACGCGTCTATGGATGGAAAAGCAAAGAAAATTAATCCAAAAAATTTTCTTATCGAAATATAAGTAGATATATAGCAGACATGTCACTTTTTAAACTACCTACTCATCTTTCAATATTAAAATATTACACAAATTTGAATTTCCTAGGACCGTTTTCCAAGATTTCCTATTAATACTACATGTACTTATCAAATCTTTTCTCCATTATTTTGTTGTCCTAGTTTCATACTGTTCCAACGTATTGTTTCAAAACTTACCACTTAGCAAAGAGTAAAGCCAAGTAGCGACAATATGTGAATATGTACTCTCCGAACAAACCAGAACTACACTACCCAAGTCCCAAGTGTCGTATATTATGCAACTAAACCGAAAATCTCCATGAACAAACTTAATCCTGTGTTCGCTAAAGCCTCCCGAGATAGTCCACAAGTGATAAATCAATTCTGCAAACTATTAAATTACTTAATTCGACCAAAAACAGCGAGAGAAAGTGTTTCTTTTGGTTAAGTTTTGTTTTAGTTTCTCGCGTCTTTAGCCAAAATTTGTATATGAAATGAAAATAAATTTCTTTGATCAACGAGAATAGTATCTATCATATAGGTACGAGTAAAAAACTTCACTCACTAACAAAGAATAAACAGATCGAACTACAAAGTACAGTAAATAGGATGAAAAAAACAAGTTAATTAATAGTAAAGTAATGTTACAATACCCACCATTGCCTGTTCGACTGACAATTTTTATTCCATAGTGGTCTGCTCACAAAAAACCAAAGTTACTACCTGTTAGCGGAAGAAATGGAGTGACGATTAACCCCCCGCTCGAACACGTTAAGGTTAAATCGTTCAGGGAATGAAGTAGGAGGCAGGAAGTTCCAGAGGTGGGCAGTACGCCACCAAAAAGTTGCCCTATATTCAGAGGTCCTCGAGGAGAAGTTATTTAAGAACAAATAACTTCTCCTAGTTGGAATAAGTCTGGCGAGATCGTCAGAACATATTTTATGGTAATAATAGCGATTATACAACTCACTGTACATTATTCCCATATGACACGAGAGGCTTAATAAGTGATAAGCCTTTTGGGATTATCGCGCTTGGTGGCATTTGTCATTAATAATAATAAAAATTAATAAAGCATTTAAGTTTAGTTCGTTGTATAACCTTTTGAATACCACTCGATGTTTCAGGATTACCTAATACTTTTACCTGACACTCAACGCGTTACCAGCAACACCACTCCTCCTTCGGAGGCGTGGTGTTGCTGCGTAACGCGTTTCGTGACAGGTAAAAGTATTATCTGGTAATCCTGAAACCTCTTGTGGTATTACATTCGATTATTCCACTCATGTTTTAGAAATCCCATAAGACAAGTGACAATTTTCAAAATTACAGCGAGAATTTCATACATCTGTCAAAACTGGTATTCTAACAATAAATTGACATGTTTTGATTGTTGATTTGGACCAATCAGATTGTAATTACGCGATAATTTGCACTAGTGCAATTGCATACTAACTGGGGCGAAAACTGGTGTTTTGACATTTTTTGACAAAAAATTTAAATTTTTGATTTATGAAATTCTCTCATTAAATACAACTCGTGCAATGGAAATATATTTATAATTTTCGACAAATTTGCACTCATGCGTTTTTAACTGAAAAAGGCACTCGTGCACTACGTGCACTCGTGCTCTTTTTCAACTAAATATGCATTCGGGCAAATTTCCCAAAAATTATCAATAATTTCCATTGCACTAGTTATATTACTATTGATTATTCCACTCATGTGTTAGAAATCCCATAAGACAAGTGACGATTTTCAGAATTACAGCGAAAATTCTCTTCTCCATTTGTTTAACTAGAGAGAATTACAGCGATAATTCTCCCATGTTATTGTATACATGGTTGTCATGCTAATTTTTGATACAAAAAAAAACGGTTCCTGATAGCAACCATTTATTTGTATTGATTGTTAAGATGTTCAAATCGTTTAATACATATTTATTTCCATATTTATTGCATTCTCATACGTGAAATAATCCTCTAAATTCCACTTGAGCTTTAAAATGAACCAGATAATTTTTCACTCATGCGTGTTTTCTATATAATTTCACGAGTCCGTAGGACGAGTGAAATTTGCAGAGAAAACACGCAATCGTGAAAAATTATCGGTAATTTTGAAGCTCTCGTGGTATTATCCCCGAAAATTCCTTCGCCCATTAGTTTAACTATAATAAAGGGAATTACATCGATAATTCCCCCATGTTATTGTATTCATGGTTGTCATGTTAATTTTACAAACGGTTGCTGTAAGGAACGATTCATTTGTATAGACTGTTAAGTTGTTCAAATCGTTTAATTTATATATTTGCATATTTTTTGCATTTTCATTCGCGAAATAATCCTCTAAATACCACTCGAGCTTCAAAATGGACCAGATAATTTTCCACTCATGCGTGTTTTCTTTGCAAGTTTCACTCGTTCTACGGACTCGTGAAATTATAGAAAATACGCAATCGTGAAAAATTATCACTTAGTCAGTCAGCTTTCGTTTATGTTCGAAAAGATTGCACTAAATGTTGATGAGAGTTGGATTATCGATGATTTATATTGCTCCTCTTTATACTGCATCTAATAAAGCCAACGAATGCTTGGAAACATCGCTGCAGATGTGGGAACAGTGTGTTTCACGCCTGTAGTTAGGTATATCAAAAGATTCTCTTTGTCCTTCGTTGCTTGAGACGAGACGGTTGCATTCATATTATCATACAGCAGGCAGCAAGATATTCCTCTGTAATATCCACATGCATCTCTAAGTTCGGCAGTTATGGTCTCAGTAATCCATATTTCACTTATTAGGATGTGGATTTGGGAACTTAGCCCACACTAGCATCCTTTTTTAAAAAGTTCTACAGGAATGCTGTCAGTACCAGCTGACTTATTCCATATATGGTCTGATTTGAGCCTTATAAGGAGAAGAAGTTGTTTAGAAGTAAAGAAATGTTTTGGTCTGGACAAAAAACCTAATTTTTTAGATGCGATTTTGGCAATCGAAAATACATGGTCATGCTGAGACAAGTTGGTCGGTGCGATCCCCCCAAGGAAAAGATACTGAGGTATTGATGAAAAGGTTTTGTCCCGACATCCTTAAAACTGGGTTATCATCGGCGGAAAATTTGTTATTTGAGAATACTGTTACTTGAGTTTTGAAAGCATCGAATTTGACCACCTTGTTAAAGACGTAGTTGGTAATGGTGTCAAGATCACTGTTGATAGAGTGAATCTGTTCTCGGGCGAGGCATGTGGAAGTGATTGCAGTAAGCGGTTTGTCAGAAGAGAAGCTACTATCGTCCGCAAAGTTGTATATGGGGGTTTCTTATCACATTTAACAAATCATTTATAAAAATAAGAAACAATGTTGAGAACAGAATTGAGCCTTGGGAACGCCGGCATTTATAGCCAATGGCAAAATTGGTTCGGAAGACCAATATACGATGGAAGTTTGCTGAGGAGACCTTCATGCCACACCTAATCAAAAGCCTTGGGGATGTCCAATGATACAATTCTGGATTCGCCAGGTTTTTCGAGAGTCGAGTTCCAAATATGACTGACGTACGCCAGGAAATCTCCTGTTGATCATTTAGAATTAAACATTCCCGTTCTGTTTGTTAAAAATGAGCTTATTGGCTTCGAGGTATTTAATCAGTTTCAGGTTGACTGCCTTTTCCATTACTTTCGAAAGTACGGATATAAGTGAGATGGGACGATGATTGCTAGGAACACTCTGGCACATTTCCAGATAGACGGGAAAACGCCTCGACTGTAAGAGAGTGAAAACAGTTTGCAAAGAACTGAAGCCAATTCTTGTGCGCAAGCTTTGAGGACAAAATGTCAAGTTGCAGAAGATTATTACCTACTATTAAACGCACATTGAATAATCAATTTCTATGTTCAAATTTAGAATCTTGATACCCAATAGGAGTAATGATTAAATAAGTTCAGTGTCATCAAAGTTTAATGTGCTTACCCAAAATCTGGATCTCAAATGAAAAAAACTTTTTCATATTCTTTATCAGCATAATCATATAGGGCATTTTGATACCCAGCGAGGCTCTAGGATTGATTGGGCATGTAATGTAAGTGGTGGCAACATTGGTGCCTCCAATGTCCAGCACTAAAGATTTGACTTCTTCATCTATTACTCTTCTTATGTGACCATTTTTTACCTACAGAGGGTAATTTATTAATTTGAGCTTTTATATTTTATTATGTACCTGTTTGTCCCATAAAGCCAACGGGTTACTTCCCACACTGTAAAATATGGATATGAAACCGCTCTGTTGGGCATTGGCGAACATTTTTATGATTTAATAAAGAAATGTCATAAATGATTTATTGACATTGACAAAGCTCTTCAGTAAATATGTAATATTGAGTTCAGTTTTTTTTTTGTCTAGAACAAAATTTTAAATTTATTTGATAGTTTACTAATTCGTATACGTATTTATCCATAAAACTAAACCCAGAATATTTAAAATTTGTCGTAACAATATAATTTAAGCCAGAGAAACCAAAGAAAAAAATGTCTAGGATCTAATTCTCCAAAATACACTTACTTCAAAATGTTAATTACTGCAATAATAAAACCCATATCCTAATGAACCGTTAATATTAAATTTCTCACTTCCCAAAATGTTTTAGAGGGCAATATTTTATGGTTCTTTTCTAAAGCCTAAAGCTGACGGAAAGATGAAATCATAAAGAAAGATGCAAAGATGTCTCTCCCTATTACAGACTGTCGGGTCTGAAGTGAGTGGCCGACACGGGCGTTAATGGAAAGATACAGGGTGTGGCAATATTGGAGATGGAATGTTTTATGCAGCGAAAGTTTTATAGTCGATGAATTTTTCTAGAAAGTTCACCAGAATCCATCATTTGAAAATAGAGAAGGCTTGAAGCAAAGTAGCCAACAAGTAACAGCGATAATCGAAGACTTTTGTGCAAACTCCTTCTCTTCCACAAAAACATCGCAAGAAGTAGACAGAAAAACCTCCATGCCATGAATGTCATATTAGAGGAAGTTCTCCGAGATAACAAGAGGAAATCGAACTAAAGCCTATCGCTGATGAAAAACGATAGAGTCCCAGGACAAGATAGAATCACAAGCGAAATATTGAAACTAGGAGGTCACAAGTCACGTAGGAGTAATTGAAAATTGTAGCTAATAACGACAACACACGAAATAGTTATTTACCTAACAAGTGCGGAAAGTGGTCCTTTACCGCACGCGACGGCAGTTGCACGAACGACGCGAAGCGGAGTTCGGGCAAGCTGTCGAGTGCGGTAAAGTCACTTTTCGCACGTGTTAGGTACAAAATTTTTCCTTCGGAGCACATAATTTTTAGAATTAAAATCTAATTGGAAGAAAAAATGCATAAAAAATAGCAAACATTGATTGTTAAAAACAAAATATGTTTCTATTTCATGCATTACGGCCATTACGCGAAGGCAAATGCATTAATTGCATGTTTTTTTAAAATTTTTGATACAGTGCGGTAAAGGATTTTTACCGCACTCAGTGCGGTAAATAATCTTTACCGCACTCAAAATTTTTATGACAAGAATTTGGTTAAAAGTCTGTCTTGGTGGCATTTGTCAAATCTGCTACGTTGGATTTTGTTTTTCCCATAGCAACAAATCAATATTATAATTTGCGTATATTGAACTATCCAAGATGCTGTCAAACTTGAATTAAAATGGCCGCCAAGAGGCACACAAACCCTTTTTTTATGTGTCATGAAATTTTTTTCAAAAAAATAGTGCTCATTGCTCATATGCGTTTTGATACTCGTTCTTTTTACTCGTATTTTTATTAATGTTAGAAATAGAACAGATCCCTAGGGCACTCCTGCAGTGATATCCAACCCCTCTGAAGTACTGCACCCCTAGAAGCAGTACTTCATGACAGACACAATCGAAAGCTTCTTTCAGGTCACAAAAAACTACCGCGGCCACTTCTTCGTCATTTATCTTCTAATACAGCTCATCCAGGAGATGAAATATGGCATCATCAGTGTTTTTTGACTGCTGAAACAGAGACCGAGAAAGCAATTTATGTCTATCAAGGAAGCCCACCATCCACCTTAATTAGCCACTCTACAATTTTAGTCTAAGTAAGGATATTGGCCGGTAATAAGATGGTAAATTCTTATCACCCCCCTATTAAACAAAGGTAATAGCCAAGATTGCTTCAAAAATGAGGGAAAACTTCCGGTAAGAAAAGAATTAATAATGGAATCGAGCCAACACATCAACAGCCTAACTGAGATATCGTCCCAGCCAGAAGATTTTCTATTTTTGATACTCAGTTTCTGAGCAATCGTACAGTAGTATGAATTAATATTATCTGCTTTCAAATTGGAAGCACATATGTATATTTCTTTTTTTTTTTCGCGTAGGTCGTTACTCTTTCTGTTTATTGGATGCGGATGCCCAACCTCTCATTGTAATAAATCTTCCTTGCCTGTTTCATCGTCTTTCTGTAGATGCTCCTGTATCCATTATTTAAAGTAGGTAGCACAACACTGGACGGTGGAGTTGCAACAAATAAATATTTTCACATTTTAAGGGTAGGTCCTGGGTGTCCAAGTGAAATGTAGGTAGAGCAATCTTGCCCAAACAATAGGGATTCCGTAATTGGGTAGAAACGGCCAAAAATTGAGACGCACACAATAGACAATGAGTATTTGATTATGATCATTAATGACATAACCTAATGACGTTATGGTTTGTGTTTGTGTCAAATGTTTGTGTGCCTCTTGTCGGCCATTTTTGTGTCACGTGTTTTGGATAGTCTAATAGATACCACATGGAAAGTTCAAATAGGTTCGTGTTTTTTGGTTCAAATTTTCCATTTTTCGGTATAACAAATTCTTGAGAGATGGAGACCTTCGATGAAGAAATATTCGAAGCAGCGAATGCAGCAGTCGGCTCTTTGATTCCACAAAAATCCCAGGACCGGCACAATAAAGAATATGAACAATGGAACTTTCTCATTTTACCTGTGTTGCGCGCGCCGCTTGTGGGTGACAAATAATAAAATTGTCAAGTAATGAACGCGGTCTGATGCTGACTTTTTTTAAGCTAACCTCAATTATCAATCAATATTGCTGAACATTATTACAAAAACTGTTTATTATACAATGGTTCAAATGTGTTGTGTATGATCTTGTCAGAGTGAGGCGGAAAAAAAGTCAAATCCTTCTTTTCACAAGTTCTCAAGCAATCAAAATGTAAGAAAACAATGGTTACGTGATCTCAACCTGACTGAAGACGATTAAAGTTGGAACAGAGATTTGAGGGTTCGTAAAATAACGATTTCTATATCAAATACAATGATAATTGTACAATTAAAGGTTTGCTAGCACTTGCAAATTCGTACTTCTCAAACTTGTCATTCCACACAGGTATCGCGCGTCATTATATGTGTCTCTTTCTTTATTGCAGAAATCCTAATAAACTATCATTGTTGTTCATTACATGAAAAAGGTCCATACAAACGTTTTTTTAAAAGAGTGCGGTAATAGTTATTTACCTAACAAATGCGGAAAGTGATAATTTACCGCACGCAACGGCAGTTGACAGAACGACGCGAAGCGGAGTTCGGTCAAGCCGTTAAGGGCGGTAAAGGCACTTTCCGCATGTGTTAGGTACAAAATTTTACCTATGAGCATCTACATCTCCAAAAAAAGGCATTGATAAAATTAAATAATGAATCAGATTAATTAATGAAATAAGATTTAATTTAGTAATGATCCAAAATCCATTTTCTGAAAAAGTAAGGAATTTTGATTAAAAATATCAAATTCTACTTAACCGCAGACTATGCGGTAAAGTGCACTTTACCGCACACTTTGTAGTCCACTTTACCGCATACTATGCTGTAAAGTTAACTTTACCGCACACTATGCTATAAAGTTAACTTTACCGCATAGTGTGCGGTAAAGTGATACTTTCCATTTTCAAATACGTGCGGTAAAGTGCACTTTACCGCACGCTCGTAGGTAAAGAATTTTTACAGCACTGAGTGCGGTAAAGAATTTTTACAGCACTGAGTGCGGTAAAGTACTACCTACGGCACGCAAACGAGTGCGGTAAAGTGTACTTTACCGCACGCGAGTAGGAAAAAGATATTACTCTGAAATGACGGAGAAACAATTGGAAAGGTTGAAGAATATGCATAAAAAGAGGAAAAGATAATCTAACACCTCAACTGAATAAAAGAATAGGCTCCTACGTATGATCTGCGCTGCTGTGAGAATATTTGGACTTTTCTTGAAAACTTCGGATATCCCAATATCCCAATACCTGCATGCTCCCTGTGATGATATACGCCATGAAGACTATGACAGGAACTATCAAATCTGTTGACAAAATGCAGAAAGAGCAATACTAATTGGAAGAGTCATGCTAGGCGTATTCCTGCAAGACCAACTTCCACGGGTAGGTTCTTTGTCTTGTCCAAAGTTCCATAGTGATTCCTAGCTATCTTGCTACCTATTCAGCCTTCCTATGCGATGAGCTAGCTCTCTCTGGAAGTTTACGCGGAAAGTGAGCCTGCAAAAGAGCACGACTTACATTTATTTCAATTTTACTACTGATTAGTTCCCATTCCTTCCTGCAATCTCGTGTGAATAATCATGCTGTCCCTATACTAGACACCGCAATGGTACAATCATATAGATAAGCAGAGTGATATTTAGGGTGAAATAAATCTCAGCTTCTTTGAACAATTTTATTGGATAATTAATATCAAATAAACCAACGTTTCGATACTGATCTTCAGGGCCAGGTTCTTATGGTTTGAAATCTGGAATACATAATATATTTGTGGGATGACACACGCAGCCTCAATACTATAGAATAATTTCAGATTTTAATATTTTTCTTTCGCTATTTTAAGGTTTCCTGGAGAGTCTCTCGCAGAATTTCAAGATTTTCTTGGATATCGAAGAAGAGGTCAAAAAGGTCTAACAGGTCAGTTAACCATTAAGCCGGAAATTATGCTGAAGAATTATTAAAACTCATTATGGTTTTTTCTGCTGAGTAGTCTTTCCTGTGTATTTCAATCATGCTATAGAATCTGGCATCCTCAGCCGTAGAAATTTTATGTCACAATGTAATCATATTTCTGAAGAAAGACTATCAGAATAGCCTTTTCCATTAAAAAAAATTCTCTTTAGGGTGGGGTTCGATGAAATAGGAGGAACGGAAAAGTCCAACTCTTCACCAAATATTATGATTCTCCAAGCGTTATAAAAAATTTGGTCCAGTGTCCTGAAATGTATCATAGTTGAAATTAGTGAACTCTATTCAAGTGATCCTGGCTTGTTAAAATACTTTATCTTCTACACTGGGATCACTTATGGTGGGGTAACGATCGCTTGTACAACCGGGGCCTTAGATTAGATACGTTTCTCTTCGAATACTAAACTTAACATCTTGAACATTGACCACCCTATATTAGTTTACATTATGCCACCTTCGATTATTTACGTCTTCTCGTCGGGCCACGCGGCACGACGATGAATTTCTCTTCATCTAGCCCACGTGGATGGCGCAATTACGCAAGTAAGCGTCGCGACGCGCCGCGCGAGTTTGGACGCCATTTTCGACGACGACCCCTGTCGTACACGATCGTCGATTTTCGGGAACGAATTGCCGTATGGACAGGGATAGCGACCCTGGCATCCTGCGTTGCCGACTAGCAGGAAATTTCATCGAGGACTAAGAATCCTGAATCCACGTATTAATCCAGAATATTAAAAGGTTTCTTGAAAGCCGAGAATGATCCAGAGAATAAGAGGAAATGAAAAGAATATTTTCAAACCCCTAATTTTAATTTTAACTCGCCTGACGGCTTGTGATTTTGTCAAATATGTCATTCGCGAAATTGCCAAGCAACAAACTTTCATACCTTTCAAAAATTTTGCCGACAAAATTTTTTCTCTTGTGATATTATACAGTGTGTCCCAGGGAAAACAGTCCACCCCGATTTATTGGGTTTGGGATGAGAATCCGGGAAAACGCTCGGACACGTCGATGTTTGATTTGAGGGGGAACTATTTTTCAGTTTTTTTCATCCCCGTAGCGTCAACCCCCTAGCTAGGGGGAGAACAACCCCCTAAATTTGGATAGGGAATAGGGATCGTGTCATACCTCTTTTTAAAGGTCTCATCGAGTTCTTTATGGCCCTAGAATTTCATCTTATTCTTTTCATCCGTAACGAAATGACAGCTTGTCAAAATCTTGAAAATGGACTATGTTTTAGTAGGAGTAAAAGCTGTACTTACCTCCCTTAATAAAAATATGATTAAAAATACCTACAATTTACAATTCTCGTGTATACCTCATTAATAATAATAAGAAAAAACTTTATTTCAAGTATTTTCATTAGAGGAGGTAAGTATCGCTTTTGCTTCCACTAAAACTAATAGTCTATTTCCAAGATTTTGACAAGCTGTCATTTCGTTACGGATGAAAATAATGAGACGAAATTCTAGGGGCATAAAGAACTCAATGAGACCTTTAAAAAGAGATATGACATGACCCCTATCCCCTATTAAAATTTGGGGGGTTGTTCTCCCCCTAGCTAGGGGGTTGAAGCTACGGGGATGAGAAAAACTGAAAAATAGTTCCCCATGTAATCAAAAATCGACGTGTCCGAGCGTTTTTCCAGATTCACATCCCAAATCCAATAAATCGGGGTGGACTGTTTTCCCTGGGACACCCTGTATATGACTATTTCACTAGAGTGTTTTACACTGGCAAAATGTCATAGGAACGGCCGGTTTCCTACTGACAAAACTCCTACCTGTTCCTACCTGGACAAAACCAACATGATGGTTTTTCAGCGACAAAATTTTGTGTGGTTAAGGTAAAAAACTATTGAGTTTGACAAGTGTCACCTAAAGAAAATAAATTTTCCAAATGAAAATTTGGCTTGTTTTTCTCGTGAAATAGTCCAGCCGAATACCACTCAAGAAAAAATTATGTAGACAAAATTATTTTCTTGGTTTTATTCAAGTTTGTTGCTTTTTGGTAATTTCGCTCATGAAATTTTTGACAAAACCACTCGTCTGACGGCTCGTGCCAAGCAACAAACTTTCATACCAGTCGAAAATTTTGCCAACAAAATTTTTTCTCTTGTAGTATTGATATATGAAAATTTCTTGACAGTTCTAACAGCCAATTGAATTTTGTTATTTCTTGTCATGACACAAATCACCCAATCATGTCAAAATTATACTGAAAACAGCCCATGGGTTGTTTCCACTCTATGACATTGTCACGGACATTGCTGTCAAAAAATTTCTATCCGAATAACCCTGGAACATTGATAATTGTCCGAAAAAATTTTATAACAGATTTCGAAAGCTTGTTGCTTGTTGTTTTCTATAAGCAACAATCTTGAGAAAGTTGTTATAAAATTTTTGAGCTTGGGCTATTACTACTGAAAAGAGTCCGAGTGAACTTGCATGCATTCCTGCGAATGTTCCAGAAAAAAAAAATATATACATATAGGTTCAAAGACCAAGAACTGCCTGGCGCTAAGCGATTTCACGATTTTTTTCTATCAAATCAATATATTCGCGTATGTATTTCCATAGAAACTGAACAAACAATCAGAGGTGTAGCAGACATAAGTCTGTGGACATAAGTCAATGTGAATGTGAAAGTCAACTCTTCCAAATCACACCATATTTCCAATTTTTGTTCGAATTTTTAGGCAAATATATTATTTTTCTAAAATACACATTTGCAGGAACAAATTTAGCCAACAAACATGGCAAGGAAATCCCATTTTCTGTTTAAAACCCAACACCAAGTAAGCATTAATACTACTTGAATTATTTATATATGGATACTTCTTGTATTCCTTTCTCTAGGCAGTAGAGCTAGAGGCCAGTCAATTTATTTACGAAAACACTGACGATGTTAATGCAGTTTCTGATATAGAATTGCCTGAATTTTCAAGTCAGCCCGTTTTGATTAATCCCACTCCCATGCCAGCCGAAGATGTTCATTATTGTCTGACTGCAAAAGATTCTATTGATCCTAGTTATACCCGGTTAACTTTACCTTAGTAAGTAGACATTCATAAATTTGCTCTAAATTAAAAATAAAGTTCAATCGATTCCATTATTAGATATTTGGCAATCATCATAACTCCATTATTAATTATTCATCTGTTAGCTATGACGAAACTATCTACCTAACTTACAACGAAACATGGGTAGGTTATCATTTACTATACCTACGGACTTATGTCGTATTTGAACTTTGTTTATTAAAGAAATAGCAACTATTATTCAATATTATTCAAAATATTCAACTTGAGTAGTAATTAATTGTTTCCATGATTGACTTAACAAGAAGGAACGAAAGGAAAAAAAAATAGTTTCGCAAAACGAAATGGACGTATGAACCTTATTTAATTGAATATAAATATGGTTAAAGAGCATCAGTCCATATAATAAACATGTTGACGTTACATAATGAAATTATCGAAATAAAAATATGTTTATCACTTACCAAATATTAAATTAAAGAGTTTCCCTCTCTTCTAGTACAGTGATCTGTAGGCAGAGATACAGAAAAGCTTGTGCCAAGCAAAAAGCTCAATTTGCAGAAGAAATTAAGATGCATGCGATGTTTAGAGCCAGAGCGCTAGATGGTGTTAGAATTCACAGGTAAAAAAAGTTGCAATCATTGAATAAATAAATTGTTGAAAACGCTATAATTTTAGGGAGTTCTGTAACGCTATTATATCGCAAATTCATCCTTCAGAGAAGATAACTTTAACCAAGAAGCAAGAAAAAAGGGTTAGACAATTGTTAACCGAACCCTAAAAAAAATGTATATGCAAATCAAATATAACACGGTTCTTCAGAAATTCCAGTGACATTTTATTATTTTTATGAAATTTCTAAAACCAAATAGCGATTTTTGAAAGTCTCAAGTGAAAGTTTGAGATTCCCTAGATGTGTTTGGCCAAAAGGAATAAAATGATAAGGGTATTCCATTGTAGGTGCTCTCTATATAGATGTATTTTAAGGTTTGGACTTTTCTGTTCAGCTGCTGAGTGCTGAGACGTAGGCCTCATAATCACAAAAATAACGCTCTTAGAAAAAAATAACTAAACTTGCGAGCAATACATCAATGAATCTACTTCAAAAAATTTAAATACATTTCTTCCATTACGACAAAATTGGTTAGGTTGCAGCAATGCCTATTGATTTGCCCAAGTTGTGATTCTGTAAGCTATTGGGAAATTCGTGATAATTATTAATTCGTCGTAATAATTTTTTAAGAAAATTTTCATACGAACTTTCTCATTTTTCTTACCTCAATCCAACAGAAAGAATCAGCTACCCACTTGAATGGAAGCTTTGGCCTAACCCAAATTCGGTAATTTTTTGGAAAAAAAAAACAAAAATTCAAGATAGCGGACGTATTTTCGCAAGTGGGGGATTTAAGCGAATTTATAGTTTTTTGAATAACTTTTCCTAGGAATAAGATTTTCATTGAGACAGTCAGTACTTCTGTATTTAATTTTTTTCCATTTTAAATTGAATTGCATGGGGTAGATGGTAGATGTTTTCCTAAGAAAAAAAAATCCTTGAATTTCACCAGAGAAAATGTTTGATGTTATAGCGTGCATTTAACTTTTGCTCGTGGGTTCGAACATTTTTAATGACTTAATTAGATATAGCAGAGGATTTTTTTGGAATTCTTAGATACGATACAATTTTGATCGAAATGACATTGTAGATGCTACGGATTTTCAGACACGTGATTTTGAATCTCTCTGTTAGGATAATATGCTGAAATAGTACTGCCAATAAACCAAAGTAATTAATCACTTTCTCGATAGGTAGCATTATAAAACATAATCGACATCATGATTTGGATCATCTTCTGATTCCATCTTCAAGGATTTTGGATTGTAAGGATTTTAGCTTTGCATGTTCCATGTTTCAGTAAATTCTGGTATAAATTAAACTTCGGATCATCGAGGGTGATTTTGTTATTTCTAGCATCACACTCGATCGATTAGGGCACAGTAAGTTTGTACCAATTTAAAAGCTGTTTTTTTTTTTTTATTTTCCTCAATAGCGCAGGTTGTGTCGCAACTGCTAAAGCCATATGGACTGTCGTTCCATTTTTGGCTATAGAATAATAAAATTACCTTTAAGATAAAGTGCACCATATTGTGTTATCATAACTAACATCCCATCAACATCTTAATTTTGAGTGACAATATAAACCCTGGATAGGGCCTGTTTAGTGGAGTTATTTTTTTTTGTCTGGGCATTTTGAGGGCTGACTGTGGCTATTAGCTGATGAGAATAAAAGAGGTTTTAATGCCTGCTCCCTGTTCGAAATGTCCACAGAATGTTTCGCCGGAAAACTCAATTTCGAACTGTGAAAATCGTCTTGCGATTTTTCAGCGTTATTTTCACAACAAAACCTTTTATTCTCTCGATTGCCAGACAAAAAGCGAACGTGGAAGGTTCTTTTCTTTTCTCTTGGAAGTTGACACTCATCCCCACTTTTTCAGCTTTTGAAAAGCATCTGGTATTTTTTATGGGTGAATTATTTATCAGTGACAATCTTTTATTTAAAAGCCAGAAAATTTGAGGTCATTAAAAAAAAAATTCATGTAAATCAATTTTTCGTCTTCTCCAAGTTTTCGAACAGGGAGCAGGCATTGAAGTCCCCCATATTCTCATCAGTTAACTAACCACATTCAGCCCTTAAAAAATGCCAGACAAAAAAAAAATGAGTCCACTAAATAGTCCCTATTTCACAGTCTAATAGTCACTAGTGGGTAGGCAGTGTTCACAATGCTGTTTGCACTATTATTAGAACATCTGCATCTTAAATCTTACTCTCCTTATTACGAAGTGCTTTTCGAAAAATCTTCGGCTAAATACTTGCCATTGCCATTGTTTTTGAGCCACAAAATTCTGACATTGTACAGTCTATTTATCTTGGAAAGTGTTTGTATTGTCTATAAAAATCGTCACAATTTAATATCCCCTAGCTCGCGTTACAATACTCGCCAGTTGCTTAATTTACCTCTTCCTATACCTACCTTAACTCTTACTAAAAAGTCTGTGATATACGAAAGTATAAAAATGTATAATCATTTACCCAATGAAGTTAAAGTTTCTCCGACATTGAAACAGTTTAAAAATGGGGTCCGAAGGCGTATTACAGTATTGACGAATTTTACAGAGACTTTTAAACTGTACATTTTATGTTTAAGCTTTACCACTCTATTCATTTTATTTATAAGTTTTAATTGTTTAATTGTGGCTTGATTGTTGCTGTGACTGTTGATTTTAGCTATTGATAATTTCCTCCCGTACTCTATTTACTTTATTTATTGTTTTTTTTTTCTGCATTATGTTAAAGTATTGTCCATAGAGAAATATAATAGTAGTAAACTACGAGAGACGTTTGTTTAATGTAACAATCTGGATGTGTGTTTGTGCACATACCCGTAGCGTATTTCGCATGGTGTGGCAGATTATTGAACTAATTACTTCGATCGTTTCTGACAACTCGGTTTAATTTGTCTTTGTCAGCAACTTGCACAAAAATGTTCTATATTTTTTTAACACATACAAAATACAAAATTGTCAAAATTTGACAAATTATTGAATCGTCTATCATTGAATCCAAAGACCATCAATCAAAAACTGAATGCTCATCATCATAACTTAAAATTTCTTCTATTATTTATATTAGAGAAATGAGAAAACATTCTGTGATCATAAATATTAATTAATTAGACGAAACCGACACCAATAATAGTGTGTTTTCGAATTTGCGATGATGCGAGATGCAGTAAAAAGGTAAATACAAAGACAAAGCTTATAATACAAACATTTTTAGTTACTTTATATTTATAAAATTGGAATAAAAAAATAAGTTTGTTTGAAGATATCTCAATTTTTGTATTGTTCAATTGCCTCCTTGACCCCCTTAAGAAATCTCATTGCATCTAATTTGGATTTTTTAAAAATAAGTTCTGTTATCGTTCTAAACAGTTGCTCGGTAAATTTTAGCAAGTTTTTTCAACAAATGTATTGCTCTGCAATTAACTGTTTTGAGCGTTTACAGTACTTTATTTTTAATAAATCTTAAATAAAATCAAAGTTAATAATTTAATTATTCAAAAAAGCCGCCTTTTCACTGTCGGTAAAGAAGAAACCTGCATTTAAACAATGTTCACTCTTTTATTGCTGTCCGTAGCCACCAGAGGCGCTAACGTCGACATTGTGCCAGTTAAGTACAGGGGAATGACTTCTCTCGTAGTTTACTACTATTATATTTCTCTATGGTATTGTCACTCTGTTTGTTTGATTTATTAGTTTTAATTAGGTATTTGATTGTTGCTGTAAGTGTTGACTTTGACTTTGATTATTGATGATTTCCCTTATGTAATATTTATGCTTTGTCAATGAGACAATTGTCTTAAGATAATAAGGCTTATTTTGAATTTGAATTGAATTTGAATTCTTTCGCTGATTTCATAAAAATCAAACGTCATGGGGTTGAAACTCGAATCAAGTAGCGGAAGGGTACTTGGTAAATTTGAAATTCCATTGAAAACAAGAAAACGAATTACCCGCTAGCAATGTCTTCAAACCTCAGAGCTTCCAACAATACAATTATTGCTATTCCTTACCACGTTGCTACCCAGCATCAGATAAAATCTTTTGTCATCATCCACCGAAAGTAGAAATTCAATTATAGGGAATAAATGCTTGTTTGGGCCATATTTTTTTACCATTATTAAGCACTATTCATATGAAATGGTTCTCAGTTATAATACATATATCCCTCTATTACTGGTTTTTATAAAAACAAAAAGATTTATCAGAGGAATATTTTGTAAATTTCAACAAAATTGGATTACATTTAATAAACAATTAATAAAATGTCTCTAAAAAATCCTTCATTAACTATTACTTGTTATTTTACTATAATAGTAAATAAGGTGTGAGTTATACCAAAAAAACCCTATGTTATTATTATACTAATAATTCTCCTTTCCAATGTTAAATATAAGCATGCGCCACTGTAAAAGCCCACAATATTATAAAGATGCTGAATAAGCGGTACTGCCTGGAATAGTACCGTCATATCAAGATATCTCCCACACAGTTGCACTGTCAGCAGTATTTTAAGATAAATACGGCGCGCAAAGCTTCTAAGCTCATTCATTTGTATTGTAGCTTAGACTATAGCAATTAAGAATCAAAGATTCTTTGGTTCTCGGCTTCCGCCGCAGCAATTTGGAATCTAGTATTTTTTGTTGTAACTTCTTAGTTTTTAATAAAATAAATAGTTTTTAAAATATAATTGGCGCAGTTCGGAGCGGATGTTCTTCAGAGTGCTATAGAGTCCTGGGATTGAATTTTCGAAAAAAGTTTAGTGCAGTTCGTTCGACTTTTTGAAAAAATTAAGTGAAGAAAAGAAGCAACAAGACAACGTACAAAGTTAAAGTGATACAGTTTCAAAGCATCGTGCCTTAAAAACCAAAATGTTCCTGGCAGCTTTCATCATCCTCCTCATAGAAATATCCAGTAACGCCTACACGTTAACTCCATCAAGAAATCCCATTATACCGATTTCTATAGGAACCACTTACATCACAACACAACATAAAGCGGCGTTTCCACAAGCATAGTTTATTGGCGCCAGTGCACGTGCCAGTTTGCTGGCGTAATAATAGTGGCGCCAGTATCTGTTTCCACTTGATATCAGAAACTTTTAACTTGCGCAGTAGAAAAATAGCGTCAACTGAAGAGATTCAAGCAGGTTTTTATGTTGTTGTAGAAATTTTGTTAGTAGAATTGCAGAAGATACGAAAAAACAA